CCCAGACCCAAAAATATCACTACTACCTCCAACACCCAGTCCCATAGTACCGGTAGATTTCATCTCGGTATTCCAACTCTCCATTTTACTTCAAACAGTTCAACAGTAAGAAAAAAATAGATTGGAGACCTTCAAAAAATAATTTAATACCACACACACAGAAACCAACCCTTCCGGAAGAAGAAAACCCTAGCTAGAGGGAAATCTCTCTCCTCTCCACACCTCCCAACAGAGAGAAAAGTGAATCGATCACTCCGGGAGGCCTAGAAAATTTCAGAAATCAAACTACCCTCTTCAGAAAATCAAAAGAAAACTAACAATACCTGGATGCCCAATATCAGATAAAAAACAAAGAGTCCAACTTTTCTGGGACTCTTCCCCATACTCCAGTTCTTCCTGATTTTGATGCCGAACAGTAGATCACCTTCCTGATGTCTAGATCCCACCAAAAACTCCAAGAACTAGGCAATCTATAGCAGATCGATCAGCCCTTTACTACATGCAGTTGGCTGATCTAGAGCTGCATGAGAATGCTTCAAGAAACCCTAGCCGATGCTCTGATACCAAGTAGAAATCTGCTGAATTAAAAAATATGAAAGAAAGTAGTTTCTTGAAGAGAGAAGGAGAAGAGAAGAAGAGAAGAAGAGAAGTTGAAAGAAAAGAGAGCAATAATTTGGCCGCCCCCTTCACTTATTATTTATACTAAAATAATAGAACAATACAAAGACAACTATGCCCTTATAGGGCGGCAAAACGTAAAACAGCATATATAACACTCAAAAAACATGATAAAATTTGGACTCACATAACTACTCTGGTCCCCACCTCGTATTTAACAACTAACATAAAACATCTACTCAAAAAAACATCATAAAACTAATTAATCTTCAACACTATATATTTGAAATTATCTTGTTCTTTTAACAGACTTTCATATGTTTGCTCATATAGTTGGCATCTATAATTGACCAGTTTGGTTAACCAGGATTTTTTATTCCGTTTTGTCAGTTCGGTTTTTCAGTTTTTGATGATTATCCCTAATAGCTGTTTTTATTTTTTATTTATTATTTTTTTTTTGTGCGTGTGTGTGTGTGTGTTGGTTAGTTAGCTGTTATGTCTGCATTCCTGGGTCCTGATCAGAGCAAAACAGAGAGTTTATTAGCTTCAGATCCTGATGTTTTACCGTGGATTCAGAAATACCAACGTAGCCGAGAAACAGTGTCTCAGACTGACTATGAGGTAAGGACTATTATTTGTGTCCTTTCAGATACAGTGCAAAACAGTAGACAAGAAAAAGATTCAATGGTAATAAAAGAAAACCTGTCATGAATATTTTTCTTGTGGTATAATGCTAATAAGGAAAAGGGGCTTGGCCAGGGTAAGCAAGGGTAATCCTAACCCTGCACCTTCCTAATGAAAGAGCTTGACAGACACTGGCCATAGGTTACCTATTATGGCTTGGAATATGTCAGGTTAGACTTATGTTTTGTCACTCTCAGGTTAGGCACTCAAGAAAAATTTATTCTCATCACAATTATCTCGAGTTCGTTAGATAAACCCTGCTTCTGTCATCTGGTACTCAAAATTCAACAAAGGTGTACCACAATTGTCTGGAATTGGTTAGAAAAATTCTACTTTTCCAGTGAGGCCATATCTTTTGTAAAATCATAAGTGTTCCAGTGTTGTAACTATTTTTTATTATGTTTGTGGCCTACCTTTTCCCTTTTGAACCTTTCAACTTGTACCAAGATGCTTGTTAATTCAGGTGCAGTCATGGGTCTTTGCTGCACATTATTAAACCACTTCAATTTGTCTTTAGATTGTCACTCAAAGGGGCCCTTTTGGTTCATGTAGCTGTATTAGTTTCTAATTTATCCTACATGTATGCCATTCCATAATTTCTGGATACTTTGTCCTGTATAACATGTCCAGTCTTCAAATGGTATTAATATGTTTTAATCACACGACTCTCTCTCTCTCTCTCTCCTCATTCTTGCGCTTTAACAGAAATGGTACTACATATGCTGTATTCCTCGTGCATATTAAAAAACCTTTTGGTTCTTATTACCAATATTGACAAATAGTCTTTCTGATGTGCCATGTCAGGTTGACCTTATAACTACCCTAACGAAACTTAGTTGCCTGGGGCAAAAAATTAACTATGAAGCCTATACATATCCTGTTCAAAAAGTTGATTTAAGCAAACTCAAGTTATAGAAGCAAGGAGCTGATAAAAGAGAAGAACACCAACTCAGCACAGTTGATTCCTAGTCACAACATTTATTTACCTTTGGAGGCTCAGTGTTTTGGAGGAACATTTTTCATTTCAATAGTGTGAGATAGAATTTTATTTCCAATTTTGAGATGGTATGTTTTGGTCTCCAGGTTTGTGGAGTTACATAGTTATCAGCCTTACATTACAACTTGTATCCTTTCCTTAGATCGGTAATTCTGGTAAGAAGAAAATTTGTAATATATGCTTGTACACCATTTTGGCATGTAGTTTTAGTAGATGAAATGTGAAAGATATGTTACTTGTACAAGGACACTATACTTGTGGTTAATCCAGAAGGCTACTTTGAACTGCACGGAAAACCAGTAGTATTTGGTTTTTTCTTTCCAAAAAGATTTTAAGCATGCAACTTTTTTCTTTTTCTTTTTTTTCTGAGAGGCATTCGTTTTTTTTTTTTTCTTGGAAGCCTTATAATACCATCTTACAGCATATTTTTAACCATACTGATACTTGGGAACTGAGTTGGAATGACATAATATTCCAGATGTGTGGCGTACTACGCATTTGTAGAACATGCAAAACAAACCTATAAACTTCACATTGCTCTCTCTCTCTCTCTCTCTTCTTTAGGCTTAGTTTAGAGTACAAATACAAATATATAGGCTTCAGTGTGAATACAAATACAAATCTGTAGAGTATAAAACCTTGTATTTTGTATTATTTTTATGTATTTGTACTGTACATATTTGTATTTATATTCTTTTCCAACTGAGCTGTAAGTGCAAATACAAGGTTTAAAAATACAATATACAAGGTTTTGCACTGTACATATTTGTATTTGTACTCTTTCCCAAACTTAGCCCAATAAAGATACAAATATGTACAGTCCCTTGTATACCATATTTGTAAACCTTGTATTTCACTATACACGTTTGTATTTATACTCTTCCTAAACTGAGCCTTGTGCCTGCTGATTATACTACATTCAGGGGTGAAAATCCAGTAACCAACTTGAAGGGTTTGCATAGCATTGGGCCAGTGCTCTTTCAAATTTTAGCAAATGCTCAACCCAAGCCTGCTCAAGTTGCAGCCTTAAAATATCAATAAATCTCCTGGTAGGCTTCTACTCAAAGTTGGGTATTGGTGCGAGTCAATATGGCCAATACTATTTTTTTTTTTTTTTTACTTTGTTTCTTTTATAAATATTAGAGGGATGGGATAGCCTATCCGAAGGTTTTAAATGTTGTAAATAGTTGTGTATCAATGTATCCTTCCATATCTAGGTTCACTGATATAAATACGATATCCCTTTTCATATCAATATTTTAATCCTTGGCCCTCAAGTTGTTAGTAGTCTGGGCTAACATAGCTCTACCACACAAGGCCTGTATCTACTATCAAGTTCCAATTACAATAAGGCCAAGATTGATTTTACAATAAGGCCACTGATATAAATACGATACCATTTCTAGCTGCAATATTTTAAATTGGTCCATACAAATTTTATGAGAATATATTTTTTTCTACAACAAATTTTGAGTTATTAATACAACATTTGGTACCATTGGCATTTCTTCAAGAAACATCAAATTTGGTGTTTTTGCTATAAATGCCAACATCCAATCCAATGTTTATATTTTTTTAGTGGAAGCTTATCCGGTGTGATGTGTGACAAAGACAATTTCTCAAAAATTTATATTGATCAACATAAAACATTGCAAATAGAATTGTAGAAGTAGCAACAGTACCAAACACAACCATAATTAGCAATTAGCAAATGACACAAAGTCAAAAATACTTCTTGATGTTTTTGCACATATTTCTCATGCTTAATAGTTAATATGTAATAATCTATACTATTATAAAAAGTATGAGTGTTCTAACAAAATTCACGGGAGTGCTTTGACTCTTCTGGTATCATAGATTTATTAATGAAAATTCGATCCATTTACGAGGAATTTTAATACAGGACATAAGGATGTGCACACTAACTTCTAAACAAATTGTTTTCAAGGCTCCCTCAGGTGAAACAGAGAAAAGGGAGAAATTTTCGTTGTCAGGAATAGATGGATGCAACAAAGTCGTTTGATAGTTCAAAATATGCAATGTATTAGTGCAAATCATACGCTAAGGATCGAGTCATTAAAAAAACATATATCATGCGTGTTATTATTTTAAGATGAATCAGATTCTCATTTGACCCAAATCAGTCGTCAGTCTTTCAATTCTTCTTGATAAAAGGCCCAAAAATTTCATGGGGGTACAGGAAATGCTATAATCACGTTTTTGCTATTAAGGTGTATCGGAAAGGTAATTTTAAGAGATGCATCGAGATACATTTTGGAAATACATAAATACGGATGAAAAATCAAGATACACATAAATATGCTAGAAAATAAAAAAGAATCATTAAAAAATATTAACAACAATAAAAATGAGTTTTATGTGATTATAAGTTTATAACTAATTTATTTAAACATAAAAACCATATTTTAATGATCTATATAAAATATCGGGACATAATTACTAACTATTGAAAAATAATAGAAACACTAAAATGCATGTTCGTGCATATATACTAATATTTATTAGTTAATATTTTTGGAGCCACTTATTAGTTAATATTTATTATGTATACAAGTTTATATATATATATATATATATATATATATATATATATATATATATCTTAATTTTTAATAAATAAATATAATTTATATTAATCTTATTATTATATAAATTTTAATAACCAAATTTTAGCATTTGTTGGAAAACATCCACCAAGGCAAGAAAGATTATTTTAAGCACAAAAAATATGCTATTATGATAAGTAATTAAGGTTGACATAGTGATTAATTAATTATTGTTATAAGCAAATGACTAGGGTTTGAAACTTGTTACCTTCAGTAAATGATTTTTAACAAATTATTTGACTTAAACAACATTTAATGATATATTAAATGACTTAATTAAAGGTAACTCAAACGAGTATTTACTAACATCTCAAATTTAAAGACTTAATTAAAATTGATATAAATGAGAGAGAGAAGAGATGAATTTAAAAAAGAAGAAAATTAAATTAGGCTGATACATAATGCGTATTGGCCCGTTTTGGAATTGTATTGGCTGATACATTCCCAAAACAATCTGATACGAGGCCGGACCCATATTAGTCCCATACGAACGGAAAACTACGAAACTATGTAATTGTATATGTTCTGCCTATCGGAACTCTTTTGAAACGACACGTATTGACCTAATACTTTGCAAAATTTTAAACCTTGGAAAGTCACCGTCAAAGTAATAAAACTAACCTTAGTTCATTGAACAAGTGGAAAGACAAAAAAAAAATTGCCATACCGGTAAGAGATAGCAGATGTACAGACTACAGTGCATCAAACAAGTAATTAAAATTATCCGTCTTTGAGTCTTCTGATTTTTTGTTATTGTATTGGGTCTTGTAATGGCCATAACCAGTTTTCCTTTTCAATTAAATTATGGGATCAAGGAAACTTCAAAACAAACAAAGCATACCAGTACTACCATTAACAACTTCCATGGAGCATACAGAAAGCCCATATTTTTCATAATGAATAAATCTAAATGAAGGAAATCAAAACCTCTGTTTCCATTAGTTGAAGGATTGAAGCTGGAAACTTCCTCAAATAAATCCTGCACGAGTGTACGCTAAATTTTCTTTGTTCCAATTTCTCCCCTTTATCTTTTGCAGTTGAAGCCAGAGCCATACTAAGTTCTGGATAACAAGTCAACAGATCGAGTCCAAAATTTGAATATAAATATTATTATCATCCTTCTCATTTTGACTTAGGTCTGATCAGATCAAGCCCACCCATGAAGGGTTTTAATGGCTCAGGAGTAATAACAGATCCATCTTCTTTCTGGAAATTCTCTAACAAACAGATGACCATCCGCGGGTGTGCACAAATTGTGTTGGAATGTTGGTCTTTCCCTTTTCAGGACCAGTTGATGTTTCAGATGAAGGGCGGAACCGGATGCCCAACCGCCTGCTTTGATAGTCAGAACAGTTTGAAGCACTTGATATCTGTTACATGACATGGATTTGAGAATTATTGAACACTAGCATAAAGTGAATGTAAGGTAGTGAAAAGGTGCACTGAGAGGGTTGTGTACTTGTTGATTATATTTAGAGAGAAAGAAAAAATTAGCATTGAAGTAAAGGCCTTCAATCCTTCATACCAAAGTTTCAGCATTATTTAGAGAGGACTCCTTTCAGAGGAAGAATTTGACGAAGTACTCTCCAAACAAAGATATGAATACGTGGTGGAAGCTCTTTAAAATCCCAGAAATCTTTCCAAGAAATGTTTGGGGTTGCATTCAGATTATAAGAGGAATCAGCATACTCCCCATTCAGTAGTCTATAGGCCGAAGAGCTGGTGAAACAACCATTGGGGGTGACAGTCCAAGTGATCCTATCCTGGTGGTCAAGGGGATTAGCTGGAATCTCAATCTTGAGAATGCTTTGAGCAATGATAGGATCAAATTTCGAGAGAATCGGCTCCGATCTCCACTTACTAGTGTCAAAGTCGATGAGATCTGCAACTTTTTCATTTGATTGATAATCATCTCTGTTTAGAATGAAGTTTGGAATCCAAGGATCATTGAAGATGTTCGTATCCCATCCGTTTGAGATCAGCATTCGTGTTCCCTTTCTTAAATCCTCCCTTGAATTAAGTAGAAACTTCCAGATGTGGGATGATGAACTTTTAGGCTTGGCACTCCAGAAAGATTCTCCAGAGAACAAATACTTTAGTTTCAATTGTTTGGCCCACAGCCTGTCTTGTTCAAACAGAAATCGCCAAGCAAGTTTCATGGCAGCCACACGATTTTTTAGGAAAATATCATGAATTCCAAGTCCCCCACTGAATTTTGGCTTTGTGAATTTTTCCACCCTTGTAGATAAATATGAGCCTGCCCGCTTTTAAATCCCCACCAAAAATCCCTTGCAACAGAATTGATTTGAGAACACATTGAGTGAGGGAGGGGGTTTGAAGCCATGGAGTAAGAAGGAATAGAAGTGATTGTTGATTTAATAAGCACCTCTCTTCCTGCATGTGATAAACAATCAGTCTTCCACTTACTTAGCTTTTGTTTACATTTATCAACAACAAAGTTCCAAGTGCTCTTTTGGTCTCCATGTTTAAGCAATGGAACGCCAAGATAGGAGCCATGATTCTTCATAGCGGGAACCTTAAGAAATTCAGAAATTTCAGATCTTCTACGTCTGTGGACATTTTTACTGAAGTAGATAGCCGACTTCTCAAAATTATTTCTTTGTCTTGAGGCAACTCCAAATCTGAGAAGAATATCTCGTAT